TATATAAGGGACTCTACATGTATATGTGTATATTTCACACAAATATTATACATGTACACATATGTGTGTATACCATATATGCACACACATACATACACACTGCTTTACATATACATGTGTGTGTGCATTGTATACATATATTATATACATATATAATTATCACATGTGTATATATACATATATACACATATATAGGTATATGTAAAGCCATAACTGTAGAGAAAAGGCCTGACTCAGGCATTTTCTGGATAACTCTGGGTGGATTTTTTGTTTGTTTTGAAAAAAAAAAACCTTCACTCTTTACCTAAAGATGCAATCAAAACTGTTTCTAGGCAATGTCCTCTTTTTTTTTCCCAATAGTTCATATTCTTACAAGGCAGAAACAATACAAGTATAATAAACATAGACAAGCATTTTTTTTCTGACCATATGTTTCAGCCTCCTCTTTTATAAGAAGACATTTGTCCCTGCTTGCAGAACCATTTAAGGATATTCAAAGCCATAAGGATTGATAGATTTGTTTTCAACTAAGCAGAATAAACAGGCCTCTGTCTAAATGAAAACATGCAGACCTGGGTGATATTTTGTCTTTTTTTCCCTACTTCTTCTCAGGGTATCATAGAAATAACTTCTGAAGTTGGGGACACAGAAAAAGGTGAAGAGAGTATGTTTATAAATCCATTGACCCAATGCTCCTTTTCCAAAGCCAGACAAATATATTGGTGACAGTTTCAGTATAGATGCAATTAGAGTAGTAGGAGAGAGATCTTCTTTCACATGAAGCAGACACAAAGCAGCATGGCACTTGCATGCACCAAACACTACTGCACTTAGAAGGCAACAGTGAAAGAGACCAAAGAAACAACAACAACAACAACAACAAGATTTAGTTGTACTTCTATTTCCAAATGTATAGCAAAACAAATCATTGCCTCCTAGTGCCTAGGTGATGACCAGCATTGTGAGAATTGTGATCAACCCTTTTAATTAAAACCCCAGATGTCCTCATACTTCAGGAGTACGCTTTGGGTGAGAATTATCTCTAAGACCAATAGGAGTTCCCGTGTTATAGCAGATCTGAAGTTTACCTGGAACTTCTGGCACTCCGTGGTCTTATGACCACCCAGAGTCCATCATCATAGAACCTGGATCCAGAGGCAGCCACAGAAAAGAATTAGATTTGTTGAATCAGACTGTGTACCCTCCTGAGAGTTCCAGTGGAACTAGCTTCCTGTGTCCAATGACTTCATCCTGTTTGCAGCCTGTGAAAACTTGGAATCAGCACAAGGGTACTAACAAACTTCTCTCCCTGACTCTCCTCATCTTATCCAAGAAACCACAAGCTGCCCCTAAATTTTTTCCTGCTAGAACCCCTCCACTAAGAAGATAAATAATTAATGGTGAGACTCCTCCAATGAGCAAGGGGTTGAGAAGAATAGCAAACACTCCATTAGCTATGAAGATAAAGAAATAATACCTGTGGCATACACTCTTCAGAACAGATAGAACCAGAAGAAGGCACCAGTTCCCTGATTGGTTGGATATATAACATCCCTCCCCCCGATCCCCCAAGACGCTGATAAGTAATCATCCTTACTGAAATAGAATAATATAAATAGAAGACCTTTGGTAAGACTCACAGCCTACCAAAAACAAATACACACACACACATAAACACACATACATATATGCCCTCCTTCTGTAGGGGGGGTAGGTATATATCACAATCAAGTTAAAAGTGTCATAAATGCCATGAGAAGCAAGCTGTGTCTCCACTTTGAACCATGATAAAGTGATTTTACTTCTTCCAAAGTAGGACAAAGTATGACTGGGATACTTTACCACATCACACAGAATAGTTAATGAATACCCAGTATTGGATAAGGTGTTTGGGAAGATGGCAGCAGCAGCAGCAGCGGTTGGAATAGGCTCTTGAGAAGAAAAAATTGTTATTGAAGTTCTTAAAGATGCATTTTAAATTGTTCCTTTTAGAGCCCAAAAGTTATTTAACCCTTTCCCCTACAAAGCCCTATAAATATTGACATCTCAGCCTCCTCTTTCACAAGGTCTCCCTCACATAAAACAGAATCTATTCAAATCAAGCGTTTAAACATAAATATTAAAATAATAGGAGGAACAAAATATAAATCTACGTAGGACTTCATAACTACCATAGCACCTATTAACCCAGACAAATGTATTCTCCTTGGAGAGGAACAGGAAAAGGCTGAGAAGGTTAAGGAGTCTTGTGACATATCATTAAATATTTAATCACCTTTTCAAAGTTGTAAAGTCTGAGCCTTATTATATTTCATCTGACTAGATAGTTCATTCTATACACTATGGATTCCAAGGCCCCTTTGGGAAAAAAAATAAACAAAAAAATAAACAAACAACCTTCTGAGAGGCAGGGTTAAAAAAATAAGCATCTCAATGCCACGTTTCTATTGATGCTTTAGTGAAGAAGCTCCACCCCCTAAACCCACCAATCCACAGGAGGGCCAAGTGATTGAGTCCAATGGTTTTTAGTCTCCAAGAATCAGTTTTACGAAAGATGCTGCATCTGTTGCTTTGGATTCATGCAGAGTGAAAAACTGATGTTGCTGGGGAGAAAACAGAAATAAATATCATCAATATTAGCCACTTACATAGCAGGTTAACAAAAATGTAGACTTGTAACCATATCCTGAGAAAGAACTATAGATTCTAAATACAGATCAAAGCTCACTACTTTAACTTTGTTTTTGTTTTGTGTTTTGTCTTTCTTGTGGTTTTTCCCTTTTGTTCTGATTCTTCTTTCAGAACATGACTAATGTGGAAATATGTTTAACATATTATACACATATAACCTGATATATCAGATTGCTTGCTATCTTGGGGAGGGGGAAGGGAGGAAGGGAGGAAAGAAGAAAAATATGGAACTCAAAATTTTACAAAAATGAATGTTGAAAACTATCTTTACATGTAATTGAGGAAAAAAATAAAATACTATTTGGGAAAAAAAACAAACAAAAATGTAGACTTGGATAGGAAGCTGATTATGTGAGCCCATTAGGGCCATATTAAGATTTCTGCCCTTACTACACAGTGCCCAATACATATATATAAATAAATAATAGCATGTATATAGTGCTTTAAAATTTCCAATGCATTTTACAAATATTATTTCATTTTCTATTCATAATAGTCCTGGGAGTTACTATTATTACCCTCCTTTTACAGATGAAGAAACTGAGGCAGGCAGAGGTTAAGTGACACATCCAGGGTCACACAATTAGTAATGGTCTGAGGCTGGTTTTGAGCTCAGGTGTGAAGATCAAATGAGAAAATATTTCTAAAGAACTTAGCACGGTGCCTGGAAGATATAGCAGTAAATATTTAATAAATGTTTCCTTCTTTCCTTCCTTTCCCTTTAGACCTCCTCAAGGAAAAGGTGAGAGGGCAGAAAATTAATTTCCTAAATTATTAAATTTATAAAGCTGCCCTTAATACTTGACAGTGAGGCAATCTAGGCTGCCTTGGAACTGGTAAAACCTTTGACTTTACAGTAATGTTAAAGTACTAGTCAAATCCCATCAACAGTCATTATTTGTACTCATGCCTGAGAAGGGCTGTTCCTTCCTTCCAGAAGAAATGTATTTTGCCTATATTCTGGGTGTCTTTGGGATCAAAACAACTTTAGAGGTTAGAGATTGAAAAGGAAAAAAATAAATATACAGACATTTCATATCTCAAATGAACAGAACTTAGAAAAACATCTGGTCTTAGAAAAACATCTCCCCAAGAACAAACACATAGGAAACTGTATAACAGCTCTGAAGAAAAGTTAAGGATTTTTTTCGTGTACATGAATGCTACAATTCTCTGATGGCTCGGTTACGTTCCTGGTTAAGTGCACTACTTCCAAAGTGTGAGTATTGCATCTCTGTGTAAAAGAAACATGTTCCTATCCCATTCCAAATAAAAGATTCCTTAACAAAATCCATTTTTCTTCAGGTACCAAAAAAACTTCTGATCTCTATCATGAGTGTCTGCTGGTATTATTTTAAATAACAATTTAAGGAGCTAAAAATGTTATCCTTTTACTTCATGGCATAGTTGAGTCATTTCATGTTTCCCTTACTTTTGAGATTTCAGTTTTCAACTTTCACATAGCCTGGTGGGAGGTTTTCCCCATTATACTTATTTAAAACCTGACAGCAAAGGGTAGAGTGAGTCACCTTGTGGGGAACCCAAAGACTGCCCAAGGAAGTTTTAGAAACAGCACAAAGATCAGGTGAATGAAAAACAAAACAAAAAAGCCAGACTCAGAAAAGGTAGATGGTCCCTCAGTGGTCCCCCAACAACTTTGCTTTCAAGTCATTCTTCCAAAATCAATCTGGGTATTGTTAGTCTGCAAACCAAAGAGGAACGAGATTAGTCTGTGTTAACAGCTGGCTCTGAGCCTGGAAATCTCTATAAGTCATCAATAGAAGTCATTCTTCCGTGAAGTTGAGGACTAGGATCAGTTGGTTCTTGGGCTCTAAGCCACCTGATATCGGTCCCCAGGGATGACATACAGTGCCACCCTTTGGATTACAAAGTGCTCACATATCAACTTACACTGACCAAGTTATTTACAATCATTTTTATTATTACTGGGTGGCAGAGGGTTTTCCACATTTTCCAGACACTTAAGAAATTTTCTCAAAGTACTTAAGATGGGGGGCAAATGAAAGTTGTTTCCTGAAGCAAATCTACACCTTCCAGCCCCCACCCTGTCTCTTTGTTCAGGAGGTCTGGGCATGAAATCCAACAAACTGCCTTGAAGTCATTCTTCCAAAATCAGTCTGGGTGTGTTTTCCTCTCTACCTTTTTTTTAATTCACAGGCTAGAAAAGTGTTGTAGGAACCACAAGGGGAGGGGGAAACCAAGGAAGTCAGAGTCATGGGCAGTTACTGTCAAAATAGAAAGTCTGACTCGCCCTCTTGTGTGGGATTTGAGGCTATAAAAGGTTGGGAAGGAACCCATTTCTCCTGCAAGCAACGGGCTAAGAATAACAGGGACAACAAAGCATTCTGAATGTTACCAGCTCATGGTTTGGAATTAAGACTTTGAGAGGTAGGGTGCTAGAAGCAAGATGAAGGAGATTCTCCTTTACCTTTTAGGAGACCCCACAATACACAAGATGCAACAGACCAAACACAAATGTGTGAGAGTATACCATCATGAATATGGGGTGTTGTACTGCAATACGATACCCAAAATGTGCTGTATGACACCCAACAGCTGCACAACCTACCTTCTTCCACCCACCACCAAAAACTGTGCATAACCTCTAAATTAAGGTACCATGACACAACTCTGCATCCGCACCCAGTCCTGCCAATCATCTTACACACACACACACACACACACACACACACACACACACACACCAGCAATAGCCTGTCAGCACTAACCACTGTAGCACCTGTTGTGGTAGGAGCACCACTTATTTTGTGTGGGGGCTGGTTTCCCTTTAAAGGGGAAAGGAGGTGATTCTTAGGATTTGGTTGGCCCAGGGGACTCAGGCTTGAATTATAGGTTTGGTTTCCCTACCTCCTGAAGCACAAAAGGCACAGTCTATGGGGAGTTGGCACAAGTGAGGACTTAAAGGAACTCCTTCTGCCCTGTGCAGATGCCTTTATAACTTAGCATCAAGGTGTTTTTAAAAATGGGAAAAGGACCCACATGTACAAAAATATTTATAGCAGCTCTTTCTATGGTGGCAAAGAATTGAAAATTGAGGGGATGCCCATCAACTGGGGAATGGTTGAACAAGTTGTGGTATATGAATGTAATGTAATTACTATTGTGCTATAAGAAATAATGAGCAAGCAGACTTCAGAAAAACCTGGAAAGACTTATATGGACTGATGCTAAGTGAAGTGAGCAGAACCAGGAGAAAACAGTAACAGCCACATTGTGCGATGACTAACTTCATTAGACTTATCTCTTCTTAGCAATGCAAGGCCCTAAGACAACTCCAAAAGACTTATGATGGAAAATACTATCCATATCCAGAGAAAGAACTATAGAGTCTGAATGCAGATCGAAGCATATTATTTGCGCTCTCTCTCTCTCTCTCTCTCTCTCTCTCTCTCTCTCTCTCTTTTGTTTCTTCTTTCTCGTGGTTTCTCCCCTTGGTGCTAATTCTTGTTGACCACTTGACTAATGTGAAAATAGGTTTAATATGAAAGTATATGTAAAGCCTATATCAGATTATACTCTGTCTTCGGTTAGGGGAGGGGAGGGATGGGGAGAAAATTTGGAACTCAAAATCTTATGAAGTAAATATTGAAAACTAAAATTAAATAAATTAATTTTTAAAAAAAGATCAATGCCAAAGTGAAAAAAAAGCATTAATGTGTTTTGTTTTTGCTTAGATGGCTAAAATGGGGAGTTCTTTAGATTTGAGTACACAAAGATGAATTATCTCTGCAGCTGGTTCCCTGATAGCAGCCAGTGAGGGAAGGTGTGAATTTTTTTTAAAAGAGATGGGTTTGGTAGACTGGATTTATGCTCCCTAACAACGACACACAATTCCCTATGATCTAGCTGCTTCAGGTGCAATTAAAATCTAGCTTTTGCGTAGTGCTCCACCTGAATGGCATCATCCTTTAGCTATGGGCCTTCACTGACACAATTATACCAGGCATAGGCAGATCAATTGGTGAAGTTTGATCAGGACAATCATGCGGCTCTGAAAGACAAGTAGGGATGTGCACACAAACAGAAGCTCAAGGAGTAAGCACTGGGCTCACTGCCACATTAGGTGGATAGACTTCTGAAGGGCCACAAATTTAGTACCATCCCTCTGTTCTGGAGTTCCCAGGAAAGAGGAGGCTTTGACCAGTGTGCCAGGGACCTTTAGTGGACAGTTCAATGGGAGAAGTCCCAGTATGAACTTAGTCCCTGGGAGAGATAGCATGTAAAAGGCTTAAAACCTTTTAAATACTCTGCCAACATACTTGTGGTTGGGATTGGTGATTATGTTGGAACTATTATCAATTGGAGCTCTGATACTCCTGGTGTTACTACTGGTCATAATGGTTATTCTCACATCACTGGCTTATGCTGAGCCATGCTTTACATTACCTTTATTGTATGAAGTTTACTTTTTAGAAGATTGTATTGTTTTACATTTTTATTATTTATATTAAGCTCTACCACCAGTGTTTTTTATGAAGTCTGAATTCTTTTATTTTCTATTTTAGTGGTAGGTCACCTAGGAAATTTGGGGACCTTACCACAAAGGGATGAGATATGATAAGAACACCATCTATTTTGTATGAGATAACTGGTTTTCCTTGAAGAGGGACATCTTTGGGATTTGGTTGGCCTGGGACTGAGGTTTGAATAATTGATTTGATTTCTCTGCCCCATACGGTGTAAAAGAGTTAGCTTATGATGACTTGGTGACTGAGAGGTTTTAGTGACATGCCTACCATCCTGTAGGGATGACTTTCTGACCTAGCATTGATTCTGGTGGTGAGTGCAGTGGCAGAAGGGAGTAGTGCGTTATTTGAATAAGGATCCTTTTTAACCTTGAGAATTGTATCCTTTTAACCTTTGTGATTAATAAAGTTATTTTATTGCATTTTATGGCCCACAAGTATTTCACTGAATTCTAACCCCAGGCCTGAATCATTTAATTGTCCTGAGTTAGACCTAGCCCCAAAATACCCATCCTTACTGACCATCATCTCCTGGAGGCAAATCCTACTGAATCACACCAACTGATAATAGTTTGAAAGTATAGATAATTTATCTTAGGAGTCATAGGGAGCATGACCTATTTGTTAATTCCTGAGTTCAAACCAAGTAAAGAAGAAAGAAATTTGGAGTCTTCTGGAAGTCAAAAACAAACTAACTCAGCACCCCTATTTTCCTTGCATCAGATGGAAATGGCAAACTGTTTGTGCTTTTTGTTTGTGCTCCATTTCATCTGGAAAGGGATTCTTCCCTCCCAGCCCATCTAGTCTTCTAACTTGAACAATAGTATCTCAGCATCTGTTTTCCCAATGCTAGAGTCAGGGAGTTCGGACTCAGATTTTCCATTAAAAACCTCAACTCCACAGGAAAGCAGGGAGCAGTTATGGTCTTAAAAGAAAAGTCCATTCCAGTACCGCAAAGTCTAAAGCCATAAGAAGAATAAGAAAAAAAAAAACCCACAAGGCCTCACAACATTAATATGTCAGCCATAAAATACCACAGTGTTAAGATATTCTGGAAAGGTAGCTTAATAGAAATGAACACAGCTGCCAGTGGGTATTAAGCTGGAACCAAACATCTTTCCTCAAATGTGCTCCAGTGAACCTTTATGATAAGAGGCCACTTGGAAGGAAAACGCATTGCTCTTTAAATACACACAGACACATATGAATAAACTGGACCCTTCTGCCTGACAACTGGTGTCAAAGCAAAATCATATTCAAATTGCATTTCAGACTCCAAAATAATACCCTAGGGCCTACTCCTAGTGTCAAAATTAAATTTTGATCAGTATTGAATCCTATTAAAGGTCTCATGCCTGTTTGGTGCTTAAATACTTGTTCAATTAAAACTGTTGTTGAATATTTAAAATGGGATATGAAGGATAACAGGGCTTCCCTATCCAGGTAATCAAACTGCTCATAAATGGAGTAAGAAAAGAAGGCCACATCGAGAATGAAATTTTTTCAAGAATCACCGTGTCTCTTGGACCATATCACAAGCCCTCAGCCCCAATGTAAAACTGCTTTTAGAGTTCTGAAGTATTGGGAGCTACCTCATTAATGGGGATGGCAAAAATTCTGCACAAACTAAAACACTGAAAGAACAAGGGCCCAGACTACCTTCAGGGCCAGGAAAAAATGAATAGATGATGAAGGAACTCAGAGAGAAAAACTAAGGTCATTCGGGGCTAGAGTAAGACCATTTATCCCTTCTCAGGTCACAAAACTACCAAGAATTCTTCTTTCTTTTCTTTCGGGGTCATCCAACTGAAGTGAATACAATTCAATTGATACAGCATAGTTGGATCTTTGGCCAGAATTTAAATCTTAAGCTTAAACCAGAGAAACTGAAAGGTGTTCCATGACTTCTCGCCAGTCTCAAACATCTCCCTCATCAGTTTTCTGGATCTAGAATGAGGAGATTAAGTTCAAATTCCAGCTGGCCTAGTTCCTAGCTATGCAACCTTAGTCATGCTGAGCTCTCTGAGACTCAGTTCCCTCATCTATAAAATGGGGACATTGATCCTTTCACTATTTACCTTACAGGGCTGTTGCAAGGAAAGTGCTTTGTAAGATTTTGTTGTTCAGTCATTTCAGTCATGTCCAACCCTTTGTGACCCCATTTGGGGTTTTCTTGGCAAAGATACTGGAGTAGTTTGCCATTTCCTTCTCCAGTTCATTTTACAGATGAGGAAATATGCAAACAAGTTTAAGTGACTTGCCTGGGATCACACAGTTAGTAAGTGTCTGAGAACAGAATTGAACTAGGTCTTCCTGACTCTAGGCCCAGTGCTCTAACCACTGTACCAACTAGCTTCCCACTTTATAAAAAGTACTATATAAAAAACAAGCTATCATCATCATTATTATCTGCACCTTTTTTTTATCACCAAGTAACTTTATTCTCCATTTGTTTAAAAAATTCCAGGAACAATATCTTTAGCACTCCACATGTAGTAGTTTCAGCATGAGGAAAAGAGGCAAGGATGAAAAATCTCATTTCTTACTTAATAATTGGGGTGTTAGCAAAAAATTGGGTCATTTTTTCTCATCCTATCTAAATAGCGGAACCTAACAGACAAATTCCAAGAAAGTCATGCCCAAATTAGTGAACATTCTGAAATATAAAATATGGTTTAAAGAAATGTATTTCTATTATCATTAGATATATATAGCAACAAAAACTAATGACTGCCAAATTTTGCAAATGAGTCATCCTGGTTTCTTTGTGATTAACATAAGGTTATGTATGTACTCCTAAAATGCTATAAAAGTCCATTTTCTTGGGTAAACTAAGTATTTGTGATAAGATTTTATTTACATTATGAATTTGCTGAGAAAATCCTTTATTTTATAGTTAGTACAAAAGGTAAATTATGAATTCTCATTATAATGAAGTTTCAGCAAACTTGTTTAAGGCTAGCAGTATTCTAGGAGAAGGACTATATCCCTAACCAAGGAGGAAATAAATATTTGTCCAGAAATAAAAAACATGGTTTTTTTTTTCAACAAAACTGATTAATGCTAAAATTTCATCCAAAACAATCAATCCATACCCATCCTTCTGAATCTCTTGTACCACTTTTTAAGAAACTGGTTTTTTTTTTTAAGTCTAAAATTCCTTTTGCAATAGTAATGTAGAATTCTTAGCACCTTCTAAATCTTAGGGTATCAGAGATCTCAAAGCACTTTGCAAATTTAACTGTGTGCTATCTAACTCTGTTAGTTTCCCATAAAAGTAGCCAGGAATGGTAATTAAGGGATCTTTGCCAAGATTATACAAGAGACAGTACTCAGATTAGAAATAAAACATAATCCTCTGAACTCTTCGTTAAAAAAAAAATCAATCAATGGCATTCATGTGTTGGTGAATTCACTATTTCAATAATATTGTTTGGTTACAATTTATATTCGAGTCATTTAACTTTCAGTAGATGTTAGTTTGGACATGTTTATACTACTAACAATACTCACCATAAGTTCTGCGTATGTTGGCCGTTCTTTGGAATTCTTCTTCAAGCTTAAAAAAAGGGAAGAATTAAACACATTAAAATCAAGAAACCATCTGCATTTTCACTCGACTAGGATTTCAGAACCTGCAGAAGACTAAACATAACCAACTTGAAAAACAATATTGAAAACATAGGTTTCCAATGTTGACTTGCCTCTTCCATTCCACTTCTAAATCAAGTTTTAAATCAACAGTGGACATGAGCTCATGGAAAGAAAATACATATGCTTTCCTTGGAGATGCCATACCTACGACATAAAAGTTTGCCCTTCAATTTACAGTCATTATAAATCAAAATATATCTACTTTCCTTTAGAGTTTACTTTCAATCCACCACCCACAACTTTCTGCAACAACTACAGTTTGGCAATGGGATCTCAAGATTTCATTTGCTATGGAGTAATTTTAAAACTTTGGGATCACTATATCTCAACTGGTCTGTTCACTATTACTTCTACTTTCTCCTGGTTTCCTAGAAATGTTTCCTTTTTGCATGTCACTAATGTAGTCCATCTGAGTTATGAACAAATTTAACCCATTACATTTCCAAGGCAATGGAACTTATGTATGGCAGATTAATTGCCAAGGTAAAAAGTATATTCAGTCAATAATGAAGCAATTATTCTTAGTCAAACTGAATAAGAATGCACTAGTTTGTGACAAACACAGCCATGTCTATCCATTGCTCAGTCCACAATAGTGACTCCTGTGAAAAAAAGAGGGAAAGGGTGGTTAGTGAAAGAGCTATAAACTCAATCAGTCCATGTTGTGATATCAGTGATGAAAAAGTTGGCTTCACTTTGACACACAGTGTCCAGAACGAGGGCAGTGATACTCCTACTGTATTCTGCCTTAATTAGACCATTTCTGGGGCCTTGTGTTCAGTTCCTGGTTGCCATATTTTAGGAAGAACACTGAGAAGATGAAACATATCAAGAAGAGTGTGAATGGTAGTAAAGAAACTGGAGACTATGAAATGAAGAATCATCTAAAAGAACTAGGTATGTACAGCCTGAAGAAGAGAAGATTTTAGGGGGATATGACAGCCAATCTCAAGAATATGAAGGACTATCATGTGGAAGAGAAATTAGATTGAAATAGGATTTGTTCATAGGGCAGAACCAGGTACAATGACTAGAAATTGTAAAAACAAACAAAAAAAAAAAACCCAGACCAAAGCTTGGTATAAGGATGCACTTCATAACAATTAGCACTATCCAAAAGCAGGATGTTGCCTTGAGAGGTTCCCTTTCACTGCATGCATTCAAACAGTTACCAGATGACTACCTGTTGAGCATGATGCAGGAGATATTCTTGTTCAAGTAAGGGTTGGACTAGATGTCCCCTGAGTTCCCTTCCAACTCAGATTCTGTTGCTTAAACTAAAAACATTTTACCAAAATTTCATTTTAGGATTACAAAGAACACAATACAAAGAGACAACATTTTTTGAGGAGACCCATACAGTCAGTTACCAAGTCAGTCAGTCAGGAAGCATTTATTAAGCACCTATTATGTACCAGGCACTGTGATAGGCTCTGGGGAAACAAAGAAAGGCAAAAAAAAAACCCACAATCTCTTCTATCAAGGAGTTCACATTCTAGTGGGGGGAGAAAGAATAAAGAAAATCTGTTTGGATACAAAAGTTTGAGTTACAGGGCAGAAAGAAGGAAGTACATAACCATTTGTGGAGCAGCCAATAGTAACACCATTTTCCCTGCTTCTCAAAAGCATATAGTGTATGGATCAAAAACAGCCTGTCTGGCTAAGGCCACAGTAACCAAGATGTAATTGAACTTTAATTATAACCAACACAGGAGCAAGAGACCTAAAAATCTGGATATGACCCCTATACCACCTAAGTCACCTGATAACACCAAAAGGAAGAAAGAGGAGTTATGAAGAAACTTGGTCATTTAAAAGACCTCTAAGAGGCTCAAAAAAGAAGAGAATTTAGAACAATGAATATCAATGGAAACTGTGAGATTAAATTTGGCCCATGGAAGCCCCAGAATTGATGGCATAGATCACTGAACCTAGAGCAAGAAGAGAGCTTGGAAATAATCCAGTTTACCCAACCCCCTTCATATTTAAAAAAAATGAAACTGAGGCTCATAAATGTGAAGTATCTTGCCCAAGGTCACACATGTAGCAACCAAAATATTTTCTAGCCAGTTTTATTGCTGTCTGAGTAACTCTCCTCCTCTTCCTCCTCCATTATCACCACCAGCCCCATACCCACTTCAAGATCAGTATATCTCCTTCAAAAACTAGGTCCCTGCTGTCCTACAAGGGAAGAAGTTCAGGGAAATATGTTCATCCTCAAGTCACTGTTCTAATGTATATATGTTAGAGCTATGATCCAACCAGCTAATATTGTAGTAGCCTCAAGTTAGATGACTAATGCTTTATGTAAACTTAAGCATCACAAAGTAGATTACTCACACTTGAGAGGCTGGGAGGAGGGAACCAAGTCAATGAAGAAAAATACAATCACAAATACGAAGGCTGAATTCAAACTTCAACTGGGTGTTTTATGAGGTTTCTGTTTACACTGAACACTTAGAAACCTGTCAGGTTAATGTCAATCACTAGACTCTCCCGTGTGTGGAATCTTCCTATTTATGACAGGATACTTTTCTATTCTTGACTTTTCTGCATGGTCTAACAAAGTTAAGACCCCAAACCAGGCAAATCACACTTCTCAAAAAGTTTCACAATATGATATCTTTCCAACAAAGAAGTACCATTTGATTTCATGTGTTTTGTTACATAGCTATAATGCAAAAATAAGCAACTTTCTTCTCTGGTTTACTAGGAGAACTTAATGATTTTCCTTCAATACAGGGATTTTTTTTAAAAGAAGTATCTACTCACTTCCCGAGTAGCTGGTTTATGGGAAATTTCCTATATGAAATCTAAATAGGCCTTAAAATTAATATGTTGTGGAAAGTATCCAATAAGTGCCTCAAAGAGAAGTGCCATCATGAACTACAACAGACACGTCATGTAAAGAGATGCTGAGACATTCAGGAAATAGAGGATGTTGGCCAACCGGGTATTTTCTGTCTCCTAGCCTCTCATTAGCAAGCTGAGTTTTACTGTTAAGTGTTATATAGCCTGCTAATCTGGAAAATACTAACATAGCAAACCAACATTGTTTAGTGCATTAATATAGTCCATTCTTTGACTTTTCAATCTATAAGACTTCAAAACATGGACTAAAAATAGCAAAGTACTCAAGATAAGGTTGGGGGACAGGAAGCAAACTTTCTATCTTTAATGGGAAGCACTTGAAATTCAATATAAAATAACAACTGTCAAGTTCAAAGCTACATCAATTTCTTGTTGGGATTGATTCAGACTTTTGAGTTTTCAAGTGGCTTGCCATTTCCAAGCATGCAATTAGTTAACTGCTCTAATTCCTCTTCCAAATGCCACAACACATGCTCCTGACCGTAGCTGACACTAAAAAACGGCTTCCTGATGCCTTAAGAATTGCTAGTTTGGTGTTTGTGCTGACCAGAGGATTTCTGCCTATTTGAACTCACCCTGGCTGATTCCAAGGAGGACTATTTGGTGCATCTGCAGAATGAAAACATATTGCACCTTTGTAACCATGCATTTGTCATAAGCAAAATAAATATGCCCTGTCTCTACTCCCTGCCTGCCAAGATGGAGAATATGATTGACTCCATTTGGTACCATTCACCTACTTCTGGAAAGCATATGCACCTGTGAGGGCTTCCAATATACTAGCCTAAAATTTAATATAACAAGATGGGTAGGATCAAAGTCCATCTGGTGTGTTAGGTCTGGATTTATGTTCAGTAATTCTCTAATGTCATAAGAGCCTCAAAGAAGCAGAAAAGTAGTCTGGCTTTTTTTTTCTTTTTAGCAGTCTTAGATTCTGATTTTCAGTAGTACTACCTCTGTGCATCAGGACTAATGTTGTTGCTTTTGTTCAGCCACGTCTGACTCCTTGTGATCCCATTTGAAGTTTTCTTGGCAAAGATATTAGAGTGGTTTGCCATGTCCTTCTCTAGCTCATGTTACAGATGAGGAAATTGAAGTAAACAGGGTTAAGTGACTTGCCCAGGGTCACACAGCTACTAAGCATCCGAGGCCAGATTTGAACTTGGGAAAATGAATCTTCCTGATTCTAGGCCTGGTGCTCTATGCAGAAAAGGGAACCTCACACTGCCATTATTGAGAAATCTCATTTGTTGGTCTTTTGGCAAAATCTTTGAGATTTCTCTACTTCTTCGTTAATCAACACAGCCCAGACACAGTCCTTAAAACCACCATCTAAATAAGACCACCACCCCCAAGGAGTCTGTATTTTAAAAAATGATAGTCCTAAAAGAAAAAAAGAAAAAAAAGAAAACAAAGTTGTTGACAAGCCAAAATTTTAAAGCAAGTTGGAAAAGTATGTTTGGATTTACATTTGTAAAAAAAAAAATATAAAGGTAATCATTAAAAAGAGCTCTAAAAGTATAATGCTAAATGATTCTTGCCCTTACCATCATCACCATCCATGTTAAAAGCATACAAACATAAAATAATATTTAACTCATGGAAGCTGGTAAAAATCAGGTCTTAGAAGTGGATCACAACAAGTGGCATTTTGGTCCCCAGATCTGGCTTTGAAGCATAGCCTGGTGCTCCCAAAGCATTGTATCTCAAGTGCTACCTTGTGTGTTCCACAAGTACCCATTGACGTGCCAACTTAGCTGTGATTGGTAATGACTAGCCAAGAGAGAAGAGCTACCAAGGAGATGCATTGGATATAAATGTAATGTGTGTAACAGCCCTAGAATGCCAGTAAAATACCAAAGCAAAATGTTTCTCACAAAATAAAGAGGAAAAAAATGTTGTAACAGACCACCAAGGATGAGGGCAAGATCCTCCTCCCACTGCCCATACTCACACTTAAGAGTTTTCTATGACTAGGAATACAATATACAGCTGTATCAATTTCAGGAATAAAAAGAATAGAGCTCCTAATCA